AAATATTTAAATGTGTGTAAATAAATCCAACCACCCCTATAGATTTAAGTTTCACTTTCCATAATCCGTGACCGACAGAGGAGCATCTTGGCGGCAGGGATTTAAAACTTTAACAAGACTCAAATTGACACAGACAGAGAGTGAAAGACTGGATTTTTCAAACAGGTAGGGTACATGGGATTTCAAAACATTTCAGTCGGTTTATATATATCATGTATATATTATTTATCTCTTATAAGATGCATTTGGATGAGTTGCGCTGCAGTAAAGCGCTTCATTGTAGTACTACGGTGATTACCTCTTCAGCGCGCAGCACGAGCAGGACAAACAACAATGCAGAATATTAATAACTATGACTAGGACTGTCATATACATAACAACTGGCCTATCGGTAAGCCCCTCCCCTCGAATGCAGATGAGCCAATGGCAGTTGAGTATCAGTTGCACGGGGAACAGGACTCGGACATCTTTAGGCTTCAGCGCCATAGAGAAACAGATCCGAAGTTTGAAGCTCGCATCGGTTTAATGGTGTTTATGCAACAAAAATGGGAAAACGATGTGCCTAGGGTACTTGTAACACTAATTCCAGTTATCCTGAGAGGATAGGCAATGTATTCCATTTCCTAAATCCAACCAAAGCAGAGTAAAATGTCCCTAAGCATTCAACCCCAATCACTATGAAGACAAAAACATTCATTTTCTGGTTGTCATACTCTCATTAAGTTACACTTTTCATCTGCTCAAGCAGAACGTTAATGTCATTTTGTGCTTCAGCAAGGTATCTCTGGCTAAAACTAGCTAACGTTAACTTTAAAGTTAGTGAGTCCATGCTAACGTACAAACCTAAATAGCGAACTGTTCTCACGTCATGTACCGTGCAGTGAAAGTCAAAAACACATAAACGAAGGTCTATATTAGAGTGCCTCTCCATATTAATCTGGTTAAATGTAAATTAATTTAATCTTATTCTGCGGTATATGAACGGTGTTGATCCGGGATGTTGCCATTGTGATCGTGACGACCGTAACATAATTGTCCCGTTTGCATTGTGATCTGTATTTTTACATATTTATTTGAATATCTTTTATATATCCCTCCATGGCATATTTAAGTCCCACTTGAAGGTCCATATGTGTCCCAAATTTATCAGAAACACTTCGGAAGAAGGTTTTCTCTGACAGCTGTCATTGTAAGACAGTGAGCAACTCCG